TTATTATTATTATTATCACACAACGATAAATCAAATGGCCAATGCAAACGCGAGTCTTGTTGGTGCTGTAGGCTTCTCATATTTTTACTATCCGCTACGCACCCACAAAGAAGTTGGCCAAGTTGCAGTTGTGCGGTACGGGGCTAGCACAAAACTAAATAAAAAAACAAAACAAAAGAAAACAAAAGAAATTTAAAAACACAAAAAACCAAAGCAGGTTTACATGTTTTTGACACGATGAATCCTTCCGTGTTTAACCACTGCAGCTATTGTGTCGACATAATTCTACTTGGACCCTCAACAGTGCAGTACAATTGACTTTTAAGAAATGTATGTATCAGAAAATTCGACACTTTTAACTTTATTACACTGATTATCTCATGCATTATAAATCACATCTCATCGAATTTCTTTTTATCTTATTTTATCTCATCCTGTTATTATGTTCGTCTTATCTTCATGTTCATCTTTTCTTCGAAAGGGTGGTTTGAGAGTGCCACTGAGTGGAAGGTGATACTTTTACCTCTTTCATTCGTCTTCTTTTATTTCTTGCCTAGCCTGTATATCTTGCGTTTTCCCTGTATTATTTCATTACTCCCATCGAGTATATTATTTTGCTTCTCTTCACTCACTGCAGACTTAATTATCTTTTTCATCCGAGCTTATCTTTTTTTAAAATCTCCATCCGAGTGTGGTTGGAGGGTGCTACTGGTAGGTCTTTTTTCTTCACTTTCCTCCTGTTGTTTCTGTCTTACTTCCCCCCCACGCTAAATGACCATTATTGTGTTGACGTGCTTCTCTTTACTCTAACAAACAAACGTGGTTGGTTGGTGGGAGCTCTGGTGTGGTTTGCTTCCTCTTCCCTTTCAAACATCTATCGTCCTTATCTCTCCTCCTTCTTTTTTATGTTTGTTACTGTCTTGTAACACCTCTAGTCTTGGGCACTTATATGACCTTACTGTGTTGCAAGTGCCGTAAAACACTTACTAAAACTAAAACAAACAAACAAAATAATCTCCATCCTCCAGACTCTGAAAGAAACAAATGGGAGTGCAGTTATCGAAGCCGTGAAGGAGAAATCGAAAAAGAAAAAACCTAGTGGAGGAGGAGGTGGAGGAGG